GCCCCAGCTGAGTATGGTGATGAGAATCTGGGCCCTTCAAGCTACGGCCTCTCCTGGCAGTCTCCAAGAGACTGTATGCACACCTGCTTCAGGGACAGGCAGGGAAAGGGGAAGCTGTATAGTCACTGCCACATTTCCCACAACTGGCTCCAGTTCACATGGGTACGAAGTGTCGGAGTCGAGACTCAAACCAAGGACTCCTGACTCAAGCCAGGTGTCAGGGGATCCAGGTTTAAATCCCACCTTTGCTACTAGCTATCTGTGTGACCTTGGACAATTCCTTTCTCCTCTCTGGGTCTCACTTTTCTTCTCTGTAAAAGTAATGGGTTGGACCTTGGGTCTCCAAAGTCCTGTTCAACCTTTATGTATGATTCCATGGCCAGTATTCTTTCCACTAGCCCCTACGTGAGCTCCCCTCAGGAACACTAGATAAACTGCTGGTAACCTTCCCAGGGCCCCCCTCTCCTCCCACCCCTACCCCAACCTCCTTGGTCTTATTTCTCTTTTCTTCTCTCTATTGTTGTCCAGTTGTTTTCAGTCAGGTCCCACTCTTTGTGACTCATTTGGGGTTTTCTTGGCAAAGATATTGGCATGGTTTATCATTTCCTTCTCCAGCTCATTTTACAGGTGAGGAAACTGTGGCAAACAGGGTTAAGTGACTTGCCCAGGGTCACACAGCTAAGAAGTGTCTGAAGCCAGATTTGAACTTAGGAAGATGAATCTTCCTGACTCTGACCGGGCACTCTATCCACTGCAGCGCCACCTAGTTGTCCTTTCTCTTTATAAGCTTTCCCTCAGTGATCTCATCCACTCCTAGGATTTCAACTCTCCTTTCAATGCAACCCCTTCCCACACCCCTAATCTCTGGCCACCTGCTCTTATGTCTCCAGCAGGGGGTCCAGCTAGCACTCTGAACTCTACAGATCTCAAACCAAGCTTTCAAACTCATTAAAAAAATCACCAATGCTCTCAGTCACCCAGGCTCAGACTTTCCAGTCATTTTGGACTCTACCTTCTTGTTCCTCCCTCATCAAACCTACTGACCTTGCCTGTATAACCCCTTTTGCCTCTTTCCCTCCTTATAATCCTTACTGTCAATACCTTGCATCATCACCACCCACCCACCTGGTCTACTGAAATGGCTCCCCTACCTTGGGTGTCATCTCTCCCCTACAGTTTGGTGCCCACACTCCTGCCAGCTAAATCCTGCACAGCCTCAGCTCAGGCCACTTGGAATGACTTCCCATTGCTTCCTGAATCAAATTTCAGCTCCTTACCCTGGCAGAAAGGTTCTACCCTTTCTTCCTTCTTCCCTCCCTGTCCCTCTTCTTGACTCTCTCTCCTTCCCTCCCTTCTTTCCTTCATTTCTTACAATTTTCATTTCATTTTATTTTTATCCTGAACTTGATAAACACCCAATATAACAAGCCTTTCCATACTTGAAAGTGTAAATCTCTGGCAGGTAGAGCCCGGGTTTCTTTTGTAAGCATTTAATACAGTCAACCTGGGGCACCCTGCTTAGCTGGGCTGCCTTCTACTCTCTTATTTGGGAGAGGGGCGCTATCCCTGACTCTGCCTCTCGCCCGTCTCCCTCCCTCCCTTTCCTTTTAAAAATGAAGGCAGGAAGGAAGTAAGGAAGTGAAGCCTTGTAATAAATATGCAGTGAAGTCCTAGGCTGAGTCCCAAAGGCTTGGCTCCTGCTGGTCCTTGGAGCTGCTTCACCATGAGGCCTCTGCACTGACTGCAGTTCTGAAGGCTTTCAAAGCTGTTATTTTGACGTTGCAGTTATTACTGTCTATACTGTTTTCCTGGGGTTGAGCTTTTCACTCCACATTAGTTCATACAAGACAAGTCTCCCCAGGTTTTTTTCTGAAATTGTCCTTTTCATCATTTCTCATGGCAAAATAGTATTATAAAGAGCTTTTCAAACTTTCATGAGCCATATCAATGCTAATTGTTGTCATAACTATTATTACTATTATAATAATCTTGAAGCAGCTGGGGAGGGGGCACAGTGCACAGAGTGCTAGACTTAGAGTCAGAAGGCCTGAGTTCTAATCCAGTCTCAGACACTTACTAGCTGGGTGACTCTGGGCAAGTCACTTCACCTCTGTCTGCCTCAATTTCCTCACCTGTAAAACAAGGATCATAATACCACTTCTCTCTCAGGATTGTGGGGGCAGCTAGGTGGTGCTGCAGCAGATAGAGTGGTGGATCTGGAATCAGGAAGACTCACCTTTCTGAGTTCAAATCAGGCCTCAGACACTTACTAGTTTTGTGACCCTGGGCAAATCACTCAACCCTGTTGGCCTCAGTTTCCTCATCTGTAAAAGGAGCTGGAGAAGACAATGGCAAACCACTCCAGGATCTTTGCCAAGAAAACCCCAAAAGGGGTCACAAAGAGTTGGACATGACTGAGAAAAGAAAGATTGAACAACAACCACAACTCGGGATTGTTGTGAGAGTCAAATGAGATAACATATGTTGAATTCTTAGCACAATGCCTGGCACATAGTAGGTGCTTAATAAATACTTCTTTCCTTCCTAATTACTATTACCTCTGGGCCTAGCAGTAGTATTGCTTGGCCAAAGTTTAATGACACTCAGAATGGCTGGATCAATTCCCAGGTCCATACATAATACATTAAATAAATACATTAATACATTAAAGCACCTGTTTTCCTTCAGCCCCTACAGTGTTTGTCAACTTTATAAATCTGAAGGGTGTGAGATAGTGCCTCAGAGTTGTTTTAGTTTGCATTTCTCTAATTATTAGTGATATTTTTATATGGCTAAGATTTCTTCCTCTGAAAACCGCCTGTTCATACCCTTTGACCATTTACTAGCTGGGGAATGGCTCTTATTCTTATAAATTCAAATCCATTCCCTCTACGAAAGTATTATTATTAGAAATGAGATCTTTATCATCATCATTATTATATGCTCCTCCTCCCCAAAGGCCTGTTTCTGTTGAGGGCACCACGCTTGACAGAAAATGGGTCTAGGTTTTTTATAGCACCAGTCATAGTGCTATAAACATATAGTATCCGGAGCCATCATAAGGCCTGATGCTCTGTTAACCAAGTGGTACCAGACAGAATGCCCTCACACTGAAGGTTCCCTGTGCTCTCTGCTGGTCAGAGACCAGGGAATACCTGCACTTGGCTTACTTTCTGGGTCTCGCCTGTTTGACCCCCAAGTCAGCCAAGCTTCCTTTTACTCCCTGTTCTTTGGGAAAGCAAGACCCTTTCTGGCTAGTTCTCTGGGTCTGGGTCCCAGGAAGTTTACCAACCCCTTCCCGCCCCCACCTAAGCTGGCTGCCCTTGTTTCATGTTGATTTCTAGCCCCAGCTTCTCTTCCTGGTGTTCTTATAACACTTCTGACTGACCTTCATTATTCCCCTTCACACATTACGCAGTCCAATCAAACTGTCCAATTACACACACAGTAATCTATCTCCCACCTCTGGACCATTGTACTGAAGGCTCTCCCTCCTCAACTCTACCTTTCGGGGTCCCAAGTTTCCTTTAAGGCTTGGCTTAAGTGCCATCTCTTACATGAGGATTTTTCTTCCTCCCTCCAGCTGCTGGTGTTCTCCTTTCCAAAGGATCCTGGGTCTGTTTCACGTATACTTATAGGCTCAGAGACTTCAGGGTTGGAAGGGACCTTAGAGGTCACTGGGGCCCTTCCCCTCATTTTACAGATGAAGTTACTACCAGGAGTCCCCCAGCTAGTCAATGACGGAGGCAGGATTCAAACTCAAGCCTTTCTGATTCCCAAGTCCAATGCTCTCTCTATGTACACCACTTAGCTAGAGATTTTGTCTGTAAATGTTGCCTCCCCGCTAGAATGGAAGCTCCGGTGAAGGCAGGGACTGTTTCACTTTTGCCTTTGGGTACTTAAAAATGTTTGGTGACTGGTTGCTTCTAGCAGCAGAAATTTGTCAGCAAAGTTACAACTAGGGATAGCCATGGGGGGCTGCGCAGGATGCGAAAGCAAAGATGGTGGAGGGGGCTTTCTCTTCTGATTTCCCTTCTTCATGGCTTTTAGTTTGTGATAAGCAAGTCAGGTTGACCCTGAGGGGTGGGAGCCAAACTGAGGCAGCACACTTGGCTGAGCTTGCCTGGGGGGTGAACTTCGGGGCCCAGTCTTGATCGAAGGCTTTCCCCACCTTGTGCACTCGCCCCAGCTCTGTGCCTGTGCTAGAGTTTCCCTCAGGCTTCCTGGTTTCTTGCTACAGGCACTAAGCAGTCTGTCCCCTCATTCTGCGTCCTTCTCCCCATTGTCTTCAGGGTTACAACTTTTCCCACATGAATTTATGTTGCTGAAGGATTTATTGGTTAGGTAGGTACAAAGGGTCATAGAAATAATGGGCTCGGGTGGGTAATAAATAAGAGGGGGCCTGGGTGTAGCTATAAGCTAGGAGGGGGTGGGCTGGGCTTTGGTGCCAGGGGCTCAGCAGCTGCTGCTTCCAAGAGCTCCAAGAAGGGGACCAGAGTCTCTGCCAGTCCGAGGCTGCCTCCAGATAGCAGATCCAATCACGAAGAGCCAGTATTCCTGGGCAGTAGAAGTCGGACCCTTATGTTATAGCGGCAAAGCTGATTGTCCTGGAGGGAAGAAGGGAAAAAGACTGTAGGAACTGTGGAACCTCCCAATATACATGGCCATGGCTTCAGGACACAGAGGGAGAGGAAGGATTGGGCTATAGGAGGTGGCAGAAGCAGGGCTACAGGGGCAGGACTGGCAGGGGTAGAGCTGCCGAAGGGAGGGCAGACCTAAGGACTTGGTGAGAAGGGCTGGGCCTAAGCATAGCCCTGGGCAAGGAGCTCCCAAGGACACGGTTCTTGTGTCTCCCTTGGTCAGAAGGGGGGCCTCACTGTCCCAGGGACAATCCTCAACCTTCTCACCCCCTTTGACTCTTGGCTTAGCACACAGGATTGGGGGGTTGCTCCCTTCATAAGCGCATTTAGGGTTAGGGTTTTCTACCTTGGGGGCAGCCATCAAAGGAACAACAACTCCTGGGTCCTCGAGGCCCCGTACTGGGCCTTGTACTCATCAAACAAGTTCCGCAGGGCTTCCATGTACAAGGTGTGGTACTTGTCCACTGTCTCTTGGTTTGGATTCTCCATCTTGGGGACTGTTACAGGCTCCCCAACTGATGGAGCAAATGGGGGAAAGGAGGACAAAAGGCATTAGAGCCTCCCTTGAGCTCGTCATCAACCCTTCCCTCCCCCCACAAGGGTCACAGTCTGGGCAGTTCCTTCCCTGTCTCACCTTCCTGCCCTGGCTGTGTAGGCCCCTCATTGTCCAAGAGAGGGCAGTATCCAGCAGCTGCCCCCAGACATATGCTTCCCTTGACCTGGAGAGCAGTATTCCCAGAGAATGCCTTTTCTGAGCTATCAAGGCCCCCTCACTCTCTTCTCCTCATTGCTCTGTGACCATGTGTAACTGCCCTCCTAAATGTCCACCCCTCCTCTCCCTCACCTCATCATTCACTCAGTTACCAAGGCCTGTGGGTTCTACGGACAGCATTGCTCACATCTCTTCCCTCCCCTCCACTCTTGTGGCCACCTCTCACCTGGACTATTGCAATAGCCTCCCAAGTGCTTTCCCTGCTTCCAGCATCTCCCCTCACCAATGCATCCTCCACATAGCTGCCAAAGCCATCTCAGAACATGGATCAATAACCCCTGGAGGCTTCCGCTGAGCTCTGAGATCTAATCAGAGCCCTCCAAATAAGGTGATGGCAATGAAGGCCTTCCTCCATGTGGCTCCTGCCTTCCTCTGCAGCCTTCATTTACTCAACATTCCAGCCCAGGCGGCTTGCTGGTGAGCTGTGCCACGTGCTTCACCTTGTCCTCCCTTGCTGCTGAATGTCCGTACAGGCTGCCACCCTTTGCCTAAAGTCTCCCTGTCCTGCTCAGTTCCATCTGCTGGAATCCTTTCCCTTCAAGGAAGTGCCTCCAATGAAAGCTAGCCCCGTCTTCCTCTTCTACTTTATGTCATACTTAACTGGGGTTATGCCTTATCCTCCTGTTAAACTGTAAGCTCTGTGAGGGCAGGGCCAGTGTTTATTTTTCTCTTTGGCTTCCCAGGCCCAGTACAGTGCCTTCCCCATAGGAAGGGCTTGATAAATTCTCATCGGATTGACTTGAGCTCTCTCTCTTCCTTTCATTTTAGGCAGATCTGCTCCCTTTTCTGGGCCTCAGTTTCCTCCTTTCTGAAATGAGGGGGTTGGACCAGATGGCTGCTTACTTCTAGCTTTGATCTGGTTCCCCCAGATCCTCTCCTCTGTCTCCATCCCTTTCTATTTCCTGCCCTTAATCTGCCTTGGCACCCCTGTCTCTGCAAAGCTAGCTTCTGAGGTATCCTCTCTGAAGGGGGCTCACCCACGGTGATGATGGGCTTGGGGAGTGGCAGGAGTCCCCAGAAGTCCTGGAAGAAGCCGCGCCCATAGAAGACACAAAAGTAAAAACCCCAGAAACTGTGAAACCAGTGCTGAAATCGGTACATGCGGCTGCCCTCAGGGAATAGCACCTGGTGGTAGACCTCGGTCTCCCCAAAGGTGAAGGTGGGGACCAAGTGAGCCCTACAATGAAAACCATATTGGTATGGCTGAAGGTAGAGAGTGACAGGAAGCAGCCACCCTGAGACTATTCCTAGCCAAATTAACCCTTTGCCTCCATGAGGATATGCCTAGGGACTGAAGGTATTGACCCCCCAACCCCCGCTCTACCCTAAGCCTGGTCTACAATCCTGGGGATCTCAGGAAGGATTCATAGCCACTACTAGAAGACATCTGGCTCTTAGCTTTGGGTGCCCTCCCTCCTCCTCTTCAGATACTAGGACCTCTTGTTGGCTCCCCCCATCACCACTGCCTACCCCCAAACTGACTGTAAAAGTAGCCTACATGATGTGGTCTGGGGTCCCTAGAAGTCCTTTCCCCGGGTAGAGGGAGGAAATAACGAAGGCTAAACCGCTGAACTCTTGCCTTGGCTTAGCTCTCTGGGGCTGGGGAGTCACACTTGACTCAGGGGATGGTTTCAGATGGAACAGAAGTGAGCATCTCAAACTCAGTGCCATTGACCCTGCTAGATTGTTTCCTAATTGAGAGGGTATCTTGGTACCCAGAATCTGGCAGAATCTCAATAAGTCATTGCAGAATGAAAGAATGACTAAATGAATGAATGAATGAATGGTCTTATTAAAATTGTATTTGTGTTTTATCTCCCACTAGAATGTAAGCTTCTAGAGGGCAGAGATCATATCATATAAAAACTACTAGCATTTATGTAGCACTTTCAGGTTTGTAAAGTGATTCACGTATATTAACTCAATGAATCCTCAGTACAACCCTGGGAGGTAGGCACCATTTTATTTTACAGATGGGGAAATGGAGGTCCAGAGAGCTTAAGTGTTCTGTCCAGGATCACTAGCCAGGGCTGGTAGGATTCAAGCTCAGGTCTTCCGGCCTCCCAGTCTCACTCACCCTCTAGCCGCTGGACCACCCCGCCACTCAGCTTACGTGGCCAGCACGTCCTTCTGTGTACTGTTGGTGCAAGCCCTTAATAAATGCTCCTTGAATGAATGAATGTTTTCAGTCCGTATGTGTTTGTGTCTTAGCCTGAGCTCTACTAGACTATAACCTTCCTGAAGGCAGGGATCGTGTCTGCTCTAAACTTTGGATCTCTTACTGCAACTAGCACAAGGGCTCTGCACGCAGCAGGTATGTACTGGAGATTTGTTGAACGGAATCAAACTACCAGAAACAAAGGGGCTCCCTCATGGGGAGCTGGCCTGGCGTCACCTACCCATGCTGGAGGGCTGTGCGTACAAAACCCTTGCGTTTCTTGATGATGAGGGAGGTGCTGTTAGGCACACTCTGCAGAGCCTCCCCGACACCACCGATGACAATGCCCACCAGGTTCCCAGAGCCTCTCTGGGACAGCAGGTAGTCGAGGGATGGCTGACTCACTGGGCACACACCTGCAGAGGAAGCGAGCAGCTGAGAGGAAGCAAAGCATCGCAGCCTCACTCCCTCACCTTCTGGCTTCCTCCTGGCCACCTCTTCGTGCCTGGTTCAGTCCCTCTGGTGCCAAGAGACGGCACAGAGCTCAGAGGTTATTCTATCACAGCCCCGGAGCAAGAGGCCAGCGCTGAAACTGGTGTCGAGGGGGCTCTGAGTGAGTTACCAGCAAGAGCTTCTTCTCCCTGTCGATGCTGAGGCGGCTTCCCCCAGTGCAGCCCCCCAGCAGAACAGAGCCAGACCCACCTTTAGCCATGAGGTAGTCCCTGATGATGGGGATCTTGAAGAACCAGGAGAGAGTGGCCAAATGGGGTGTGATGCCGGGGAAGGTGGTGGAGAAGCCTGTGGCTTCAGTGCAGAAATTGCAGAAGGCACCGAAGGTCAGGATGCCGTGGGGATGGACGCCCATGATGTAGTTGTGCCCCGGGTCCAGGTCCTTGGTCTTCAGGAGCTGGAGCCAGGATTGGGGTTAGAGAGAGTTGGAATGAGACCCCAAGGAGGAGCCCCCCAGAGCTTCTTCAGTGCAAATGAATGAATGAAGGCATGCAGATGAAAGCGTTGATTAAGCCCTTCCTGGGTGCCAGGAACTGGGCCAAGCGCTGGGGTGACAAATTGAAAAAGCCGGACCACTTTCTGGTCTATGAGGAAAAGCTGACATATATAGGGAGCTGTGGCTGGGGAGGGTGGAGTCATCGACTGACACCCATGACCTTTCCAGGAATGGCAGTGTTGATCAGATAATAATCCAGAGGTGGAGATGGGGCTATGCAGATGGTGCCGTGCTCTGATGACACAACAGTGTGTTGGGGCTCCCCCATCATGGAGGAACATTGGAACCCTTGGTGAGTGTCAAGGCTTAGCACAGATGGCTTCAATTCAACTGAATAGGGAGCATGTGGGATGATATGTTCTGTCCAACCAGGTGGATGGTAGGTAGGTGCCACAGTGCACAGAGTGCTGGGCCTAGAGTCAGGAAGACATGAATTCAGATCCAGCCTTGGACACTTACTGGCTGTGTGACCCTGGGCAAATCACTTCACGTCTGCCTCAGTTTCCTCAACTGTAAAATGGGGATCACAATATCACCTACCTCCCAGGATTGTTGTGAGGGTCAAAGGATAATTTGAGATAATGTTTGTAAAGCACTTAGCACAGTGCCTGGTGCAGAGTAGGCCCTTAAAAAGACTTGCTTTCATCCTTCCTTCCTTCCTTCCTTCCTTCCTTCCTTCCTTCCTTCCTTCCTTCCTTCCTTCCTTCCTTCCTTCCTTCCTTCCTTCCTCCCTCCCTCCCTTCCTTCCTTCCTTCCTTCCTCCCTCTCTCCCTCCTTCCTTCATTTGTTTGTTCCTCCCTCCCTCCCTCCCTCCTTTCCTTCCTTCCCTCCCTCCCTCCCTCCCTTCCTTCCTCCCTTCCTCCCTCCCTCCCTCCCACCCTCCCTCCTCCCAGGTTTGCCTGGCTTTGGACTCCTTGAGGACAGCCTCAATGATATGTGCAGGGACGCTTTTCTTCTTGGGCCCTTGGGGACCAGTGCGGCCCAGAACAGGGCCTGAGAACAGAGAGGGGCCCAGGTCAGGGCAGCTCACCGTAATGGGGAAGTAGTCTTGGATCTTGGTCCAGACATGCCAATTTCGTACCCAGGTCGAACGCCTGCCACCTAAGAGCACAGAGGAAGGCAGCAGAGTGGGAACGGTGAATGGCTATGGCCTTTCCCAGAAGCAGCGAGGGCCCACAGCTTGGAGGAGGCTGCAGAAGTCCAAGCTGGGAGCCCTGGGGCTTGTGGTGCCACAGATCAGAGAGCACTGAGCTTGGTATTAGGAAGACCTGAGTTCAAACTCTACTTCAGGTTCCCATTAGCTGTGTGACCCTAGATGAGTCACTAAGCCTCTGTGAGCCTCAGTTTTCAGATCTGTAAAATGGGGATGGTAATAACACCTATCTCACCAGGTTGTAAGGCTTAAATGAGAGAATGTATGAGAAGCTCTTTGCAAACCTCCAAGTGCTGCCTAAATGTGAGGGATGCTGCTGCTGCTGCTGCTGCTGGAGGATAGGAAAGAGCTTTCCACTGGCTGGGCCAGGGCCCTCACCTTGCTCAGGCTTCTTCCAGTCCAGGACAAACCAGGCAATGTAGAGTACAGGCAGAGGCCAGAAAGGAGTGAAGACCATGTAGAAAAAGGTGGGCAGCAAGATCCAGACTGTCAAGGGGACCAGAAAATTGGGGGGAAGTCCAGTTGTGGGGAGCCCACAGCCAGGGCAGGCAGCAGGGAAGAAGACTCCTCGGCCCAGCCAGTGGCCTATCTCCTGCTTCATCCACTCCCCCTCGCCAGTCTGCCCATCTGCCCTTGGTCCATCCATGCCCTGAGCATTCAGCCATTTAGTCTGCCTGCCATCCACCTCCCTCCCCTTCCACTTGCCTCTCGCCCCCTGCCCAGCCCATCCTCCTATACTTGACCAAGCCTTCCCCCATTTATCTATCCCCCTGCCCTCTGCCTGTCCACTTTTGGTCCATCCACCCACCTTTGTCCCTGAGCTCCCTTCCTGTCCACCCATCCATTTTTAAGCATCTGTCTCCTCGTCCATTTGTTCTGTCTACCTGCTCCCTGCCTATCCACCTCCCCATCCACTTGCCCACCTGCTCACCCAACTGCTGTATCACCCTGCCCCCGTCCATATGCCTAGCCTGTCCCCCTGTCCCCCCCACCCCTGCCCCATCCCTCCTCCCTGGCCATTCACCCAGGCTGCTCATCTAGAGCCGCCACCCAACTGTACAGAGCTGCAGTCCCAGCAAGGGCTGGAGGAAGAAGCTCATCCTTCAGTCTTGCCCCTGGTCCTCAGGCTTCTTTGTGATGGTGAGGAGAACACATGGCAGAGGGCATCTTCTGCCATTATGCGCCTAGCTAAGCCTTCTGCCTATTTTCCCTATCTCCCATCACAAGGACAGGAGCCAGGGGAGTCCTGCCATCCTCACTCCCAGGGCTGGAGGCAGAAATCTGGCCCCAAGGACTCCTGGGGCAGGGGCCTAACTGTGGGCCCTGGCCTTCTTAAGTCATGGCCCTCTCCTGGAGCTCACCTCTGGCTGGGGCCCCCAGCCGATACTCACATATTGCCAAGTAACTCAGGTGCCACTGGCAAATCGCAAGGGCTGGGATGATGAAGTTAGGATCGCATTGCCAGTGGGGGGGCATGGCACCCAGCAGCCTGAGGGAGGTGCTTGGTCCAGAGCTGGAGGATCCTAAGAGCAGTGCCCACGGATGCCTCTGGACTCTCTGGGCTGGCACCTGCTCAGGCAGCTTGGCACCTGTGTGGATGGCTTTTGTCCCCCTCCTCCCCGCCTACCACCCACAGACGGGGAGGAGAGGACCGTTCTCTTATGGCCTGAGGCTCAAGGCTAGGCCCAGGCCCAGCCCTGGTGCCCTTTGACTTTTTCTTTGGCCCCAGGAGACCCCCAGGCAGTTCAGGGAGCAAACTAAGAAAACCCAATTTGTAAGAAGCCTGAGGGGCAAGGGCCTGACTGAAGGGCAAGCTTCCCCCTCCAGCCCCCTCCTCCAGCCCCTGCCGGGATTACAGCCACAGGGGGGCCCTCTGTAAAGTTGGGTGAGGGTTCTAGATGATTATCTTGGGTCAGTCAGAAGCCAGGGGGTGGCTTTCCCTTTCCCCTCATTGCCCCCCACCGCAGAGGCCTCACCAGCTCTGTCCCCAGCAGTGGTTTACACACATGAGCTCCGCTGTTCCTCACAACAGCTTTGGGAGGATGGTTCTGTTATTATCTTCACTCTCCAGATAGGGAAACCTAGAGGATGAGTGACTTGCTCAGGGTCACACGGCTTGTCAGAGGAGGGATCTGAAGCCAGTTCTTCCTGATGCCAGGTCCAGTTCTTGCTACTATAGCACAATGCCAAGGGAGGGTGGGGAAGGACTCTGTCTAGGCAGGATCTCTCTTTGAAGCAGATGTGGTCCTAAGACAAGCCTGGCTCGGGGCTGTCACCTACCCTGTCCAAGGCACCTTCTAGGGGGAGAGCAGGATTCAGGGCACAGGCAGGGGGAGGCACCGAGCCTTTGCCACTCTTCCCTGGGCCCTTCTGTCCCCTTCTTGTCTCGCACCAATGCTGGCATGGCCAATGGGGCCCTTTAGAGCTAATGGGAACATGGCAGGGGGCAGGCCGCAGAGGATGAAGGAAGGCCAGGCAGTCCCAGTGCAGGCCCAGGGGCCTTGCTCCTTCTCCAGCATTCCTGCTGAATTCGGTTGGTGATGGTGGCGCCGGCTGGGCACCACCAAAGCAACCCAAGCCCAGCTCTTACACTGTCAGTAAATGGATCATAGATCTTCCACTTGGATGGAAGCTGAGAGGTTATCTAGCCCAATCCCCTCACTTTATAGAGGAGGAAACTGAGGTCAGAGAAGGGAGCTCACAGAGCTCTGTGGATGAGGGCCCTGCAAGGTGGAGGTGGGAGGGAGGCTGAAAACCAGCCTACCTGTGCTCTCTTGGAATTTCCTAGGCCCAGACCCTCCTCCCACATCTTCTCACTCCATGCCAATTTCCTCCCATTCTTGGAAGCTGTTGCCTTCTGGCTTAAGTGGCAGCTAGGTGGCCCAGTGAGGGGAAGCGAACAGACACTTACTAACTGTGGGGCCCTGGGCAAGTCATTTCACCTTTATCTGCCTCAGTTTCCTCATCTACAAAATGGAGATAATCATGGTACCTGCTAGCCAGGAGGATTAAATGAGATTACAAAGGGAAAGATCTCAAGGCTCCTAAGGCCCTCTAGAGATGGGAGCCACGATTCAGTGCTTTGGCGAAGACCAAAGCTGTCATGTGGCTTCGGTCAGCTCACTGGGCTTTCCCTGGGCCTCATTTTCTTCTGCTGTAAAATGAGAGTGGGGGAGGCTTGAGACCAGGTCAGCTCCTGACCCTCTGGGCCCTGCTGTTGAGCATACCTGGGACATAGTGGCTGTTCAGTCAATGAATGAATGCCCAGGCCTGCCACCCAGACAAGGGGCAAGGCTGTTGGACCTCCTTTCCCCAGGTGTCCTGATTTACATTCTGGGCTGCTGGGGTTGTTGGCTAATTCTGAGCTGTCAGGGTGGAGCCCTCTGCTCATGGCTTCCTGGTGCCTTGGGCATTAGGGCAGAAAACAACTGAGCCACAGAGTCAGAGCCTTGAACTGAGGGCTGGGAATAGTAGTTAATCGTTCCAGCTTCACTGCTTTGCATACCAGGCTCCTGCCCTGTCCAGAGGGCAGGGGCACCTCTCTCCAGATGGATAGCTGTAGCCTAGAGTGCTCTCGGAGCAAGGGAGAGAACTTCATCCCTTTGGTGCCAGGGGAGAAATCCAGAAATAAAGAGGTAGACATTTCAGAGCTAGGCAGCTTTCCAGAGGGAGCTTCTCTTCAGCCCCTGTGCCGTCTCTCTCCACCCCACCCCTAACCTCCCTTGCAGGCTTGGGATTCTTACCAGGAGGAGGGCACTGAACCATCGCTCATAAGACTGAACATCTGGGCTTGTCCCAGAAGCCTTAAATCTTCAAGCTGGAAGGGATCCAGAGGTCATTGAAGCCAACCCAGCTGTGAACAAGTAGCCCCTCTGACAGCCCCAGCGAATGGTGGCCCAGCCTCTGTTTGCAGCCCTCCAGTGATGGAGCACCCATTTCCTCCTGAAGCAGGCAGCCCATTTTTCCTGACATCGTGCTTAATTTGGCATTTTTGCAGTCCCCCATCCCCCTCATTGCTTCTAGTTTTGCCCCCTGGGGCCAAGCAGACCAAGTGTAATCTCTCTTCCATCTGTAAGAGCCCTTTACATACTACAAGACAGCTCTTACACGTGGCCGGAATCTGCAGTCCTCATGTAATAGGAGTATGAGGTCCTTTCCCATTCTGCTTGCTGCTGCTGGACGCTCTCCATTTTGTCAGTGGTTTTGGGGGGAGCACAAGATTCAGCTAATGTGCCGTTCACTCTCCTCAGTGCATTCAGGAAAAAGGTTGCTCTTTGATCTACTGAGATACATGAAATATGAGGTGGAGGCTGTGACTGCCAGGTTGGGATGGTGCTAGAATTGGGGTCTTCTTGTATGTTGCCCAGCTTGGCCATTGACAGGCCTTTACTGGAGCATTTTCTCAGGATAATGAGATCTTTTCTCCTGTTCAGAGCCATTTGGAATGATGCTAAATGACAAAAATGCTTGTATCCTTTGACATAGAGACGTCCTTGTTAGACACACGCCGTAAAGAGGTTAAAGACAGAAGGACAAGCCCCATAGGCACAAAAATATTTATATCAGCACTTTTATCGTCACAACTAACTGGAAACAAGGCTTGGCCCTTGACTGGGGAGTGGCTAAACTGCTTATGGTGTGGGAATGTAATGGATGATCTGCAGCATTGGGAGAAGCATGGGCACAGTGGGGAATTATGAGGACCAGGGTCCAGGCCCCAAGGAAGAGATGTGAAAATGCACCTCTCATTTTCCTTCGCAGAGGCGCGGGACTTGGGTGTGGAACGTTGCATATACTGGCTGACTAGGTTGATGCCATGGTTAGTTTTACTGAACTGGTTTTCCCTCTCTTTTAAAATTCCTTGTTATGAGGAATAACTCTTTGGGTTGGGGACACGGGATGGATATGTTTGGAAATGAAGGTGATACAAAAAAGAGAACATATCAGTAAAAATTTAAAAGAAAATAACAGAAAGGAAGAAAGCTTGAAAGAAAGAAGTAGTTGGGTACCCCTTCAGAGGCCAGAACCAATTTGCCCTGCCTAGTACAGAGGTGGTGACCCAGCTGCCAGTCCAACAAGCAATTTCCACTCCGAGGTAGGCGGCGCTGTGCCAGGCCCTTTGGGGGAAAATACAAAAGAGAAACAGTGAATGTCATCAAGGAACTTCTGGTCCTCCGGGGGTGGGGGTGGGGCTGCTACAAGGAAGTAAATCCAAAGTAGAGAGAAGGTGATTCTGAGAGGGAGAGGGTGCTGACACCTCAGGGGATGGGCCTCGTGCTGGAGGAGGTGCTAAGGCTCAGTTCTGAAAGAATCTGGGAATTCAACAAGGTACCCGTGAGCATGGAGTCCATTCTAGGCATTGGGGGTTACTTGCACAAAGGTACAATGACAGGAGAGGGAATGGAATGATTAGGAAACAACTGGGCTGGCTTAACTGCAACAGAGAGGGCATGAAGGTATGAAATGACTGAAAAAGTTAGTGGGACCCAGATTGTGGAGGACACAATAGAGTTTCTATTTTATCCAAATTGTACTGGGGAGCCATTGAAGATTTTTGAGAGGATGAGGGAGTGACAAGATCAGAACTCTGTTTCAGGAATATCAGTTTGGCAGCTGGGTGGAGGATGGATCAGAGAGGGGAGGGACTACAGGCTGGGAGAGCAATGAAGAGGCTATTACAATACTTCTTCTGAATTAGGGTAGAGGCTATATGAATAGAGAGATGGATTCCAGTGATACAGATAAGAGTTAGCTGGAGCTACCTCAAATCGACTTGAGAGAGCTGATTATTAAATGTCTGGCATGAGTATTCACACTTGGGAATTAGGCAAAAGCTACAAATCCAGCTTGATCGAGTGTGTTGTGGAGAACTGGTTGTTAAACATTTACCATCACACCCCTGGATGTAGTAGAGGTAGAAACAAGACTTAGCAACCACCTGCATGTGAAAGGTGAAGGAAAGAGAGAGTGGCAGATGGCTTCAAGATTGTGGGCTCCAGGGTGAGTGGTTGGCTGCTGGTATCCTCAATAAATATAGTGAAGTTCAGTGGAGGAGCATGAGTTCTGTTTGGGAAATGCTGAAAGAATGGGTTTCCTTGCTGCCATGGGATCGGTCTAGGGGTGAGAGCCAGGATTTGTGAAGAATGAACTTTGGTAGCTAAAGATTCAAGGGACTTTATTAGAAATGAATGAATGAATGATAAGGCATTTATTAATCACTTACTATGTAGCAAGTACTGTGTTGAGAGTTAGGGATGCAAATGCATGCAAGGAAGACAGTCCTTGCCCTCAAGGGGCTTACATGTAAAAAAATACAAAACAGTTTTATTGATATTATTTTCATACATCATGTATTCTTCCCCCATTCCATATAACAGATTATTTTTAGGAGAAAGGGAATAAACAATCAGCAAAACCAAGTAATACGTTGAAAAAAATCGGACAATCCATGCAATATTCCCCCCACTCCTGCATGCACCCCTCCACCTCTACAAAGTAGAGTGGGGGAAGTGTCTTCTCACGTTTCTTCTTCAGGGCCAGGCTTGTCCTTTGTAATTTCACAACATTCACTTGGGATTATTTTCTGTTTGTGTCATCAGTTCTCACTGACATTGTTGGAGTTATGTATATATTATTTGCTTGGCTCTGTATACTTTGCTCCACCTCAGTTCACATGAGTCTTCTCATGCTTCTCTGTATTCATCACATTTGTCATGTCTTCCAGCATAGTGAGGTTCCGTGTCTAATATGCATGTGCCACCATCTGCTTTGCTTCCAGTACTTGGGCCTTTCTTCTTCTCATTGATCTCTTTGGGGTAGATGCCCAGCATATACTTCCTGAGTCAGAGGCCAGGAAGAGAATTCTGCTATTCTGAAGTAAGACTAATGGTGTGGTTAAGAAGTAGCAGGGCCAGGACTTGACCCCAGGTTCTCTGGCTCTTTCCACTATGGCTCTGCTAGGCCTGAAGACCCTCCCAACACTGCTCTGGTGTCTGCTTTCCCCTTGGCCTACATGATGGCTTGGGAGAAGAAAGCTGCTGGGGAATATGCTTAGGTGTGAGACATGTGAAAAGGCAGTCTGGTCACCAGATCAGATGGCATGGATGAGGCTTCCTGGTGGCCAGATTGGCTGGTGTGGATGAGGCTTTCTCACTGGGAAGCAGTTGTGTGCTGTTAGGACAGCCAAGCAAGGCAAGGCTCATGCTGGGAAGGCCTGGGCCACTTTAGTTCAGGTGGCCATTGTCACAAGAATTGAGGAAGGGGCCCATCGAAAGGGAGTTGATAAAGTTGATTGCAATACAGTCCCAAGACCTCTAAGGGATTGATGGAGGCTGTTACACCCTCAGCCTCTGCTGAAGGGCTTTGATCTAAGGGCACCTTTGTTCGATATCTGAGTGTGGGCACAGCTGCCTGCAGTCTGCCCTACGCAACCCAGTGTTTGGGGCCATGACTCAGGGCTCAACTTCTTTTTTTTTAAGCTTTAACAAATTTACAAAATACATTTAGCATAATTATTGGG